CACACACACACACACATGCAGGCGTTTGGCTTCTCTCTCCACCCACCAGCTGCTTCTAGGACTTGGGAAAGGACAGGACAGATCTCGTTTCCCTGCCGTTTTATTTTACTTGGGAGAAGAGGCAGCAGAAACTTGAGAGAGGTCAGTGTCAGCGCTCAGTCTGTGTCTGGTGAACTGCATAATTGATGCTCTCAGGCTCAAGGAGGAGGGTCCAAAAGATAAAATAAAAAGTGGGGAGTCTGCCTGCCGTATTTAGCCTGCCTTCCTTTTCTTTAATTTTATCCCCGCCAGGAGAACCTGCTCGGCATCCGATTTCCCCTCCGTTCTGTGTGCCGTGACTTTGTGGACTCTTTATCACATCCCCAGATCTCCTTTCTCAGTCTCTTTGGGGCCTTTCTTTTTTTTACTAGAAAAATCAGTGAATTCTCACTCCCTTCTAAAGCCTTCCCTGAGTAGAAATCAGGTTATGTTCTCCCTTCCTTATGCCAGTCACTTCATCACTGCCATCCCCCCACAAGCACTTAAAACAGAAATCCATGTACAAACAGAGATACTTGAGCAATCAAAATACTTTCAACGGTCAGAACAGGTGCTAGCCCAGGTTGCTAACTTCTCAACGCAACTGGAATGTGGCCGCCTTCCTGCCTCACCTGAACGTTTTACAGATGACCGAAAAAGGGCTGGGGGACGCAGAGCACTGCACATAATCCAAGCTGTGTGGCTTTAGGGAAGCCACTCGACTTCTCTGTGCGTGAATGGCTTCACTTATAACAGGATAATGATGCTTTCCCTGTCATGCTCCTGGGTTGAAGTGTTAAAACGACTTACACAGACACGAGCGAAACATTGATTATGATGGCAAAGCTTTGAGAGAGGCCCTGGGGAAAACATTGTTCTCATTTGTTTGTTGGTGCCAGTTTCCAGGGGTATTCCATCCAATCAGTTGCCAATAGAAGTATAAGGTCGGCTCTGTTTGAAAGTAGGACAGGGCATTAGAGGCATTCAAATTAAAACTGCAATGAAGTATTCCTGCACCTCTACCAGAATGACTAAAGTCAAAAAATAGTGTCAACACCAAAAGCTGACCAAAAGGTGCATAAATTAAGATCATCCGTACATTGTTGGTGGGAATGTAAAATGGTATCACCACTCTGGACAATAATTTGGCAGCTTCTTGTAAAACTAAACATACAACTACCATGAGACCCAGTAATTACCACTCTTGGTCATTTGTCCCAGAGAAATGGAAACTTATGTTCATATAAAACCTGTGTGCAAATGTTCATAGAACCTTATTTGTAGTAGCCAAAGAATAGAAACAACCCAGAAGCCCTTCAGTGGGTGAATAAAAACAGACTGTGGTACGTCCATGCCATAGAGTATTATGCAACAGTGTAAAGGGACCAACTGTTAATACATGCAACAGCTTGGATGAATCTGCAGGGAATTATGCTGAGTGAAAACAGCCCGTCTCAAGAAGTTACTCTGTGAGTCCACTTATGAAGCATCCTTAAAGGGACAAAAATTATAGAAATGGGAAACAATGAGTGGATGTCAGGGGTTAGAGACAAAGGGGGTGGGGGCTGAAGGCAGGTGGATGCAGTTATGGGAGATGGTTGTGATGAAGGAACTGGTCAGTGTGATGACTGTGGTAGTGTATACTTGCAACCTC